CTTAATGTTTTGTAATTAACGAGCTCGTTATATTTATTGATTGTTTCTTGGACATCTTCTGAGCCTTGCTCTGGGCACACAGACAAAACAAGTTTCTCCACAGTTTTTCTTTTGGTTCTCTTTAAAGTTGACCAATTGATACGATCTTCTTGCGCATTTTCTGCCGAAAAATCAAAGTAACGTGAGACTACTTCACCGCACGTTTCACAAACTAAATAACCATTCTCGATGATTATATGATGATCGCACTGATCCCCAAGTTGTGACGTCCCAAAGTATTCCATCTATTTAATAAAAACCGATATTATTTTTTATTAATTTTTCAAATACTCGTCGGTCTAAACATATTACTCTCCATTTTATATTAAAAAACAGCTCCTCACCTTTTACAGGGTAAGGAGCTAATTTTTTTCTTTCTCTCACTCTCTCTCCGTTAGATTTATTTTTTTAATTTTTTTTTTTTTTTGAGATCGGGGGATTTCCCATTGGCCCTGTACTACCCACAGACCTATGACAAAGTCTGGTACCCTGACTTCTCATTAATGGCCCTGTACTACCCACAGACCTATGACAAAGTCCAGCACCCCCGCCTCCCTTACTACTGAAAGTATTCAACGACTTCAGTTTTTAAATCACACCAACATCAATTCTATCAACCCAAATCCTGAACCTATATCAGCAGTTTTTCTATTGTCAAATAATTAAAAATGGTCATAAGTTAAGAAAAATACTGAAAAAAAGAAAATGAAACAAATTCTTTTTCGTTGAATATCTAAAGTTGAAAGGCTCTCTTTTTTGCCTCATAATTTTTATGTATTGAAGGATACATACAAAACAAGAAGTTTGTTAATTTTTTTGGAAAAAAGTATCATATTATCACACGCAGTTGAGGATTATATAGGCCTATTATACTACACTAAAGGCCTATATTTAAGGTTTATACCAAAAGTTCTTTTTGAGAGTTTACAAGAGGTGTATTCCTTGCTATATACAATTCAATTTCAAAATTCAAAGCGTTCCTTCTGGCACAATAAAATGTTGATAGTTTCATATTGGGTTCATGGAATACGTATACGAAACCATGCCGATATAGTTATTTACGAATCCCCTGATATATTACACATATTCCTTAGGGTTGAGGTTTATCGGGCAATATAGACCGCATTTGAAGCGAACGAGGGAGCTGCAACCAAGCCATTTGTCTTGATACAAACCGTAGAAATATCAAGTTATCGAAGCAATTGACCAGCTGTGTAGCTTTAATCTAAAAAAATATATATATTTAAAGATGATGAAGTGTTAATTTTTGTATTGATGCTACGTGGAAACTTAATACGTCAATGTCCTGGGATTTCTGTTTGTTTGTTTACCCCGAACATTGCCATCGCTACATTTGCTCAAAAACATATGTTTGCTTCAATTTAGTACTGGGCTTAGACCAAAATTGCCATAGACCCCAATGATATGCAGTAACTTAAAAAAATCAGGGAATTTTTTTTCAAAGGTATTCGGGACAACCATCAAAATTAAAGCTTAATTCACAATCTCTCGCTTTTTAAGGGGGGGGGGGGCCTTAACCAAGGACTTCTGGGAAAGTTTTTACTTCAAAGATGATCACTCTTAAAAATTTGTCCTGAAGTCCATCGCCATTTTGAAATTTGTCCCTCCGTCACTACATTGGCCAATAAAGCAACGTTAGTGCCTATTTTGTTCCACATTGCACAATTATACTAGCCAAAACTTAGTTTTACAAGTCGTCAACTGCATAAAACCACAAAACCCTCTAATAACAGAAATTTTGAGGGCGTGTAAATCGTGATTTGGTCTGCGCATGAACCTTTTATACTGTCCTGCAAGTAACCTACAAGCGGCATACAGGAACTACGACGTCACTTGCACCGTCATTGTAACTCTTCGATTATATGCGCGTGTTTTCGCGAAGTTCCTTTCATAAAGTATCTTAACCCTAAAAGGGTCGGGGGCGGAATCCGCCCCCCCCCGACTTTTTCCGCGATAGCCTTTAAAATATTTTTTTCGAGACCTGAGCTGTCATGACTTTTTAGCCTCGAGCCTTGCGCATCTTTCGACACCAAAAGTATTAAATCGGACCAGGGGTTGGCGCGTAGCGAAAATTTTTCTGGCACGTCACCGACACCACGAAGTAACACTCTACCGTGTTAAAGCATATTTTTTTTCGATTTTCATTTTTTTTATTATTTTTAAACATTATTCATCAAGGCCTACCATTGCACGAAGTTTCAAAGCTTCAAGAGCTTTACTTTAATAATTACGCTAAGTATCCATGGCAACTTTTGCGCAAAAGTGACAATTTTCGTTTTCACGAAGTTACACTCAAGTTCCATTTTCTATTGCAATGCATGGCGCGCACTCAACCTCGTCCCCAGTGCTAACTTTATTTCCAACCGTGTTTCCAATAGTAAACCCTGGATAGGAAACTTTCTTCCTGTATCCTGATTGGATACCGCAATTGGCTAGTAATGGATTTTTATCGTGTACTTGGTGCTATATATTCACAACGTGCAATACGTGTTTTCGCGATCATTCGTCCACGCCTTTTCGAAAATACTAATTTCCTTTCCAATTTGCTCATATTAATATGAAATATGATACTGCATGTTGTCTCGATAAGATCGTAACAGCTTGATTTCAAAAATCGTGTTTTCGTAACTCACGCCGTGCTCGGGCTGCTGCGAATTGACTCTGTTTTTACCCCAGACACCGCATACAAAAACAAACGCTAATGTGTAACGCATATCCAGGCACCAGACTGTTCCTCATTTGCATACGTGTGCAAAAATCTTGCACATGCAAATGATCCAATACCAGGGTGAGAGAGCAGGTAGTGGTGGGCGCGTACTGCTCGACACCCTGGGGACGAGGTTGGGCGCGCACTCTGCTCATAGGCCTAAGTGAGCAAAAACGTTTTTACGAAGTAACACTCTTCTTGTAACAATATGTATGAGCGCGCGCGTGCTGACCTGAAGTTGCACTTTCCTCGTGTTAAATACATTGAAGAGTGTTACTTCGTGAAAACGAAAATTTACAGTTTCGCAGCTTTTTCGGTTTCAAGAACTAACACTCATCTTTTTTCTCTTATTTCTTGTTTATTTAATACACAAACGAGTGAAAAACAGCAGATTTAAGGTAAATTCAATTCATCAAGTGTCCACAACGAGAAACCCAACTGAAAATACTCTGTCGTTTTGACGCAAAGTGTTGTTTTAGAAGGCGTTCAACTTTAGTTGCCGTTTTCTCCGATTGCTAGTTTTTACTGGTATGTAGATTGGTGTTACTTCGTGGTGTCGGTGACGGGCACTATGCGCCGTGAAAACTGAATTTTCCCATATACGTCGTGAATAAACAGACCAGAATTACCATTCGTACATATGAATAATTAATTAGCCATAATTCCGAAACTCTTTGACCTATAGTCATGAAATTTCTTTAGTATGTTCATGACGAGTTGTTCTATGTATGTACCGAGTTTCAAAATATTTTGTCACTCGATGGCTAAGATCTTACGGGGGAAGGATCCGCCCCCTCCCCCCCCCCCCCCCCCCCGGCTGAGAGATGTCAAAATTTTAATTTTAGGGTTAACAAGCATCATTTTGTTCTTTGTGATTACAAATCGAAGTAAATTTAAAAGCTAATCCTTGAGATCTTGACACCTTAGAAGTAAGCGTAAGTTTGAAGATTTTCTTTGGAGAAAATAAACTAGGCCAGCTTAGAATAACAATTAAGTTGCACATTTTAATCATTTGCATAACATAAATTATGTCTCGAGTTCAAGTATACCCCAGGCGCGGTTCTACGGGGGGAGGGGGGGGCTATGGGGGGGGGGGGGCTGTAGCCCCCCCAAAAGTTGGTCTAACCCCCCCCCCCCACCCAAATTTAAAAAAAAAATTGCATTAGCAAAAAGAAGGATTGTGATGTACATGCGAACTGTCTCCCCCTAAAGAAGAAATAGCCGTGACAACGGTGCATTAGTTAATATAGGCCCGGGTTATCAAAATAACCCGGGCCCTTTAGGGTTAAACATAGTGTTTAACACCTCCCCAACACACATTTATTCCCTTATGATATACACACGTCATTGGTATACCATTTTTATGAAAGGCCATCAGACCTCTCAGTTCGACGCGGAACTTTAGAAATAACACTAGTCTATGCCTGTGGAGAAACAGCTTGAACCAAATTAATCAACGAAGCACAACCATAACTGTGGTGTTGTCCATTTTGTTACAGCTACAGCCAAAGTTATGCTCCTAATGCTTATACCTACTGAAAAAAACCGTTGTCCCTCGGGTAAATGTTACAGGCAGGCTAAGCGGCCACTACCAGACTGCCCTTATTGATACGACAATGATTATAGTCCAAATCCAAAGAGTAGGCAGCAGCCTGCTAACGGACTCACCATATTAAATTCGTGACCAGGAACCATCAATTGAGTTGTATTTGGCTCGGATCATATAATTATTTTACACTGTTTTAGAAAAGGCTGGAGCTACTCTAGCTATATTTTTTTTCGTACGAAGAGCCACACGGAACATTAATTTTATGTTAAGTATAAAATCCAGGGATGTTCTGTAGCCGACACGTTCTGTAGCCGGGCGCGGATCTGTAAGAATTTATCTACCAAGCTTGGTGCTTTGGACCAGTCGGTCACGATCGTGTCCGAAGTTGGATCAAACCACTTGACTAAGCCTCATTAGGTGCTTTTCTCGACTTTGTGCGAAGACGACGATAATTCTTTCGAAAAACAAATAACAAACAAATCCAGAATGAATGGGGGAAATAATTCCTGCTGCCTTGTATTCGATGATCATTAATTCCAAAAGATGTAAAGTGAAGTGCTGAAAGCCAGGACAGGACAAAATTGTTGTTGACATAATATTATCTCGTGAGGTTAAGGGCGGAAGCACATTGGCCCTACATTGTAGAAATATACATTTTTTTTTTACTTTTCATTTCAGTTGAAAATGGATATGTTTGCCATGGCCCGGGTTCTGTTCCTCGTCGGTGTTCTTATCGGAACTTGTCAATCGTCTACCTGTCATGCGCAGTGTGATTACGACCACGTGACAGCGAGGGCCGACTGCTCCTCCCGTAATCTGAACTGTATCCCCGTCAACTACCCAGACTCCCTCGTCATGGATCTTAGCCACAACGCCATGTCGGTGCTGGAACCAAACGACTTCAACGGGACGTTCACGAGGTTGGTTGAGCTGTACCTGGACTACAACGACATATCTGATGTGACGTCACTGCTGCAGTCAACCGGGTTGGGAAGCCTGAAAAAACTATCGGTAGAACATAACATCGTTTATGACTTGCCTTATTCTTGTTCGCTCACTTCTCTCGAAGAGATGTCACTGGACTACAACTCACTTCATTATTTACTCATGATTCCCTTTTGTAACAATTTAAAGAAACTTTCAGCTGATTCCAATGAAATACTACGCGTTGATTTTCATGCATTTTTTCTCGATTCATTTCCATTTTTATCATTTATCAGCTTGCGATTCAACGAAATAAGAAATTTCCGTTGGGGCACAGATCATCCATATAAGTCTAGCCCCAATGTGACTTTTTTATTAGATCACAATGAAATCACACATGTCGTTTTGTTTGTGCGTAATTATTTTGGTTCATATTTGGACCGACTCTCTCTTAGTCATAACAGACTCCAACACGTTTACGCAGAACTTCCCTCTAAGTTCGAAATAGCCAGCAATGGATTACGTGAGTTCAGTGGATTCCGCTTCTTTCTGCCTCCGGAAATCTTAATGGAGGAGCTAGACATGAGCAACAACTCGTTTGATTCCTTGATACAACCAGAATGGGCAGAAGGTCTTCATATCTTAAACGCTGATTACAACAAACTGGCTAACCTGTCCTCTACAACCCTACAAGGATTCATCAACCTGACGGAGCTCCATCTAGCAAATAATCGACTCTTGTTCATCTCATCGACAGCTCTGAGTCAACTCACGAAGCTACGGTCTCTGTATCTCGATGGCAACGCCCTGACGTCATTGTTGGGTGCCATATTCCTCAACCAAGCTGACCTAGTGGAGCTTTCCATTACAAACAACCAACTCTCCGAGTTATATCCGGATTACTTCCTGGGTCTGGACTCGCTGGAACGTCTGTATCTCGATGACAACGCCCTGACGTCATTGTCGGGTGGAGCACTAGTAAAACGAACGAAACTAGTTGAGCTTTCCATCACTAACAACCAACTTTCCGAGTTATATCCGGATTACTTCCTCGGTCTGGACTCGCTAAAACGTCTGTATCTCGCTGGGAATCGACTGGTTTACGTCCACTCAGAGATGTTTCGGCAGATGCCTTTCCTTACTACTATGGACTTCTCTAAAAACAAACTTAAAGTCTTTGATTTAACAAATTGTAGCCTCCTCGGCAACTTACAGAACATTATGCTAGCTCACAACTCTATTCATGACATCAGTTACATACTTGGTCATTGCGTTAACTTGGAAGTCCTGGACTTAAGTTTCAATCAGATCCAAGTGGTTCCTGGTGACTCTCTGACTGGGAGAAATAGAGCACTATACAGACTTGAGCTTGAAGGCAACCCGCTTCAATGTGACTGCCGGTTGACGGGTCTACGTGATTGGCTCCGCAATAATCCCCCGTCTGGTCTCCCTCGATGTCAAGGTCCGCCGCAGAACTCAGGGGCAGTGGTTTCAGACTTGGACGTACATGATTTCATCTGTGATCCTCCTAAGGCATCTCTCTCTTTGGCTGCGACTGTTCTCCCCACCATGTTTATCACCCTAATCATCACACTCGCTGTCGTCGCCTTGGTGATCTGTCTCCGTCGTCGTTATAGGAAGAAAGATCATTCCACCTCGGCAGCGGAAGGGGTCAGGGGTGCTTCAAGGCTTACGGTTGGTTTCCGTAAAACAGGTGTACCTACCAGATCAGACGAAGGTTACGTCGACCAAGCCGTCGATGGAGACTATATGACACCAACACCCAAGGAGGACACAGGGGAGGAATACGAGGTACCAACTAAGACAGCCAGACATCCTTATGGAAGACACCAGAGGCACCTCAAGGTCATCCCATCAGTAGAGATGGACGATGCTCACTTCTACGAACCAGTTAATTGCGGTGGAGAAACAAGATGTTGAACAAAATGGCAGGAGCAAAAAAATGATTTTTAATTTTTTTTTTAGGTTGGAAAAGTTTAAATTTGGCTAAAATTGTTTGGACCTGATGAAAGACATGTTTATTGTGTGTTAATCAGAACATTGATATTTTATTGCTGACACCGTTTACCTCTCCAGGTATCTAGATCCTGACGTGATCCCTATCCTCTAAGATAATACATAACGATAAAACCACTATTTCTGCAATATGACCACGGTGCCCCTTTTCCCGAACAGAGAGATGATTGTAGGACTGTAACCAAATGATGACATTCATAACTGTTTTCCTGCATGGCTGTAAAAGTGAAGAACGCTTGACGCGTTTACAACCTAAACACAAACGATTATATGTAACACGAGATGTGTAGTGTTCCTAAAAGCACTGTTCGTGAGAGGTTACAATATCGACGGACTGTTTCAACTTTGTTTTCCTGAAAGTTAATTTTTGTCACAAGCAGTTGCAAGCTTTAAACCGCCTGTGTGAGGTTTTGGTTTTTTTATGGTGCATAGGTATCAGAATAATGAATCCGACTCAATTCATTCTACGCCTTTTATTACAGTAAATTGCGTCTCTCGCCTTCAACGTGTTATGTTCAAAAGTTAAACACTACATAGTTTATCACAGTGTAAAATTTTGTGCAGACTACATTAGCTACATTACATTTTGATTCATTATGTGGACGTTGTAAATACCAGGCCAGAATTCAGAGAAAGTCGGAATAGATGCAGTTTTTATATAGTAAAAAAAAACATGTAATGAGAGTGGATTTTTACAGACAAGTTGGTAACTTGATCCTCCCATCTGTACGTGGAATAGTTATGGGAGGCAAGACAAAATGTTTACCTCACGGTCAACTATGACAAAATAGTATTAATCTGGCGTCGATCAAATACGGTACGCGATAACAAGGCAAACAAGGCTAGTAAAGCTAGTCCCAGAGTGCACAAACCATATATTCATTGTGGTTCGGAATGGCTATTCACTGGAATTCTATTTTGATGTATGTGGTCTACATAATGGGCCGCACTTAGCCCATTCAGGTCATGGGCGTCTACAGACGAACGTGCATAAACTTTTATGTGTTTTCTACCGCTGTGATGACCTGGGTTCGAATCCCGCCCGGGACAATATGTAAATTGGGTTTTCAGTCTCAACCTGATTCCGTGATTTTCCTCAGAATGTTCTTCTGGGCTTTTCCCCACCTCTAAACTGTAATTTCTTCTCTTAGGCCAAAAAAAGTTTCCAGTTTCTGATATGGAGCTTGCCAAAAAGTGGTGCGGCGACGCGGCTTTTTTTTTTTTACCTGACTTTTTTGCTTCAAATGTCGGCTGATGACTGCAAATGGTGCCCGACTAAACTTGGTGCAAATATATGGGAGTCCAGAGAGGCCACATAAAGCTTATTCTCGATCATAACCCCATCTAGAAACACGTTAAAATTGTGCAGCAGCAGGATTCCAGTCAAACCAGTGTGTTTGGCGGTTTGGAGACATCATCTTTCATTGAAAAAAAACTTTTTCATTTTGCCGACGCGCATGGCTACGGCGACGCGCGCGCATACCAGAAACCGGAGACTTTTTTTTGGCCTTAACAGGTCTCTTCAGACTTTCGAGCTACAGTTCTTAGGGTACTTTTGAGGACTCCTCCGTTTCATTACCAGAAAGAAATGAAATTAAAAAAAAAAAAATAATAATCCCTTTTCAAACATTTTGGAAAAGTCAGTCAGTCAGTTAGGTAGGCCTACATGGAGGACTATAGGATGTATGAGTCAGTCAGTCAGTCAGTTAGGTAGGCCCACAAGGAGGACTATAGGATGTATGAGTTGGGGAGTCAGTCAGCCCGTCAGTTTGGTAGGCCTATGGAGGACTATAGGATGTATGAGTCAGTCAGTCAGCCAGTCAGTTAGGTAGTCCTTCAGTGAGGACTTCAGGACGTATGAGTCGGGGAGTAAGTCAGTCAGTTAGTTAGGTAGGCCTCCCCGGAGGACTATAGGCTGACCCTCTGGGACCAGCACAAGTCGATACAATCGAATACAACTTTTCCTTTCACTTGATGTACTGTTTCATTGATGTACGTGCTGGAATAGACAAAGTAGATCTAAGAAAGAAAGACATGGTTCACTGATGTGATGGATCTATTCTTTCATTGGAACATGTATATTGGTAATTGGGGGAAATCGGTCTGTAAATAATATTTCAATGTACCTTTTGCAAATGTATTCGATACAATCGAATACAACTTTTCTTTTCACTTGATGAACTGTATCGTTGATTTACGTGCTGGAATAGACTAGGAAGATCAAAAAAAAAAAAAAAAAAAAAAAAAAAACCGAAAAAAATGGATGATGTGATTGATCTATTCTTTCATTTGTGTTTGTATAAATTGAAAAAATAACAATCTGTTTGTAAATAACATTTTGATGTACCTCTTACCAATATATTGTTGAACATTTCCAGACCAATTTTGTTTTGACACATACTGATGAAATGCTTGTAAAAACATGGCACTGTGATTTCCATACATTAATCACATCAACCAAATGTATATCAGCAAAATAAACTAGAATTGTGATTTTCATATAATCATATCAACCCAAATGTATATTAGCAAAATCTTGCATTGTGGATTCCATATTATTATATCAGACCAAAATGTTTGTTAGCCTAATAATCTTGCATTGTGATGTACCTCTTACCAACATATTGTTGAACATTTCCAGATCAATTTGGTTTTGACAAATACATGATGAAATGCTTGTAAAAAACATTGCATTGTGATTTCCATATTATCATATCAAACCAACTGTATATCAGCAAAATAATCTTGATTTGTGATTTCCATATAATCATATCAAACCAAACTATATTAGTAAAATAATCTTGAATTGTAATTTCTATATAATCATATCAAACCAAAATGTATATTAGCAAAATAATCGTTTATTGTGATTTCCATATAATCATATCAAACCCAATGCAATACTAAAATAATCTTGAATTATGATCTCCATATAATCATATCAAACCAAATGTACATTAGCCAAATAATCTTGGATTGTGATTTCCATATAATCATATCAAACCAAATGCAATACTAAAATAATCTTGAATTGTGATTTCCCATATAATCATTTCAAAACAAATGTATATAATCCGAATAATCTTAATAATCTTGAATTGCGATTTCCATATAAGCATAATTATATCAAACCAAATGCATGTTAGCAAAATAATCCTGAATTGTGATATTCATATAATCATATCCATCCAAGGATATATTAACAAAATTATCTTGAACTGTGATTTCCATATAGGCCTAATTATATCAAACCAAATGTATATTGGCAAAATTATCTTGAATTGTGATTTCCATAATGATTGTATCAAACCAAATGTCTATTAGCAAAATATTCGTGCGATCATATGTAAGCTAAACGCAAGTAATATCGCTTGCATTTTGGTCTTCTTGAGGTTTGTGCTTTTGTTCAGCAGGGACACGCATGAGTAGACCTCTTGTGCATTCATTGTTAATGAATTAACATAACAAAGCACACCTCCAAGATGGCCGCTGAATGCAATCGATCTATAGCCAGGCTTAATACTCAAATTAACAGAATGTTCGATAACGCACACCGATATTAAAACGCAGTGTGCAGGACTACGGTATTTTTCATGTATAACTGGACATGACAACATTATACGAACAATATCTTCCTCCCGAGAATGAGGCTTGTACGGAATTTGAATGGAAATTAAGAGAAAAATCCAATGCAGATGTTCAGATCAGTAGCTTGTTGAGTAAATTTTTTTCTAGTTCTTAAGAGTGGGTCTACGTACATATTTCATATACGCGTCCTCGGCCTTTTTTTGTTTGTTTAATAATAGGAAAGGACTTGGTGAGCAAGACACCTAAATAATTTTTTTTTTCTAGGGCCCGCTTCCACGGGAGCAGGTCATTTTGTGTTTTGGGCATGTTTTTAGATCTTGCAAAATTGTACTTTTGTCCCTATTTTTTGTCCCTCAAAAAGTCAATTTGCCAGGGGTCTCAGAATATTTTCCTTTTGGACTGATTAGAGCCAACATTGGTCTTTCATTATCTGGTGAGAAAAGTTTGGATAATTATATCCACTTTAGACAGTCCTGCATCAAAAATGGTCATTTTTCCCATAAACATGAACATGAATCTGGCGCCTTTTTTAAATCATAAAAATGAGTTGTAGGCATTGATCGAAGCCACCCAAATCACAGCTTTATTGCTTGCAAGTAGTATTCAAATTGTAGCGTTATAGCGACCGGGGGGGGGGGTAATCACACACAAAAACGGAAAATGTAGACAGGTTTTTTTTTCTCCGGACACTTGGCCTCCGTTATATCAAAAATGGGGGGGGGGGGGGGGGGTTGCTGGTACCATATCTTCAACAGGGGGCGCTGTTCAAATTCGACGATTATTAACACTATTACAGAATGGTGTACAAATACCCCCTATCTAAGCTGCCTCTTTCCGTATTTTGAACAGGCGAACATTATACCAGTGTAATTTTTTTTTGGGGGGGGGGTGTTAAAGCAGTGGTGGGAGCATTTTTTTTTGAATTTCTATAGCGAAACAAAATTTGACAGAGATGGGGATCTTTTTACCCCCCCCCCCCCCCCACTGGCGACCTCTTTTGTTGAAGGTCTGCAAAACAGAAAAAAGGAAAATTAAACAATATTGTCTGGAAACAGCAAGAAATGTGCTAAAAACCACCTCGGGTTGTTGTGGACCAAGATAAACCAGAGAATACTTGTAAGTGGCCGTACACCCATTTGTGGCCTTGATCCCCCCACAGGGGGTTAGTTTCGTTTCGTTTACAGTGGTGCAAAAAACTAATGAGGTATCACTATTTACTTTGAATTACATGTAGATAATTCAGACAGAAATATTTTGCACCTTGCTGATCAGTTAGTTACGGAGCTCTGGAAATGCCATCCCAATTGTTCAGATAC